TCAAGACGTTAAAAAGTAATTCGCCTACAAAATGGAGGACATTGTATTTAGTGACTGAAAAATTATAAATGTTTAAGGTAGCAACTAATAAAAGCAAAGAAATCATTATTTAATTCATTTATGAAATGCTTATTAAATAAAATACTTAAATCTATAATATCGTATAAGGGGCCTTGAAAATGTGATTAATCTTGTATAACAACGAAATTAATAAAAAATAAAAAACTAATTGACTGTCTTTAATTAATTAATTAATAATTCATTAATATATTAAAGAAACAACTTAATAAACAAACAAGCTATTTAATAATATTTTTTAAATAACTAGAAAAAATACAAATAAATAAATAAGAAACAAATCAAACAAATAAATAATTAATTCCTTAAAAACAATAACCAACTAATTAACTAAAACAAACAAACAAATAAATAAACAAATAAACTAGAAACAAACCAAACAAATAAATAATTAACCCTATAAAAACAATAACCCACTAACTAAAATAAATAAATAAATAAATAAACAAATAAATAATTAACACCCTAAAACAATAGCCAACTAACTAAAATAAATGAACAAATAAATAAACTAGAAACAAACCAAATAAATAAATAATTAACTCTTATAAAAACAATAACCTACTAACTAAAATAAATGAATAAATAAATACATTAAAAAAATAATAATAAATAAATAAATAAATAAATCAAACAAATAAATAATTAACTACCTAAAACAATAACCAACTAACTAAAATAAATAAATAAACAAACTATTAAGTCAATGAAAGACATATCTTAACCCACATTTGGGGCTTTGACGGTGAGGTCCATCTTGTATGAAAAATTAAATGATTCATTCATGTAATGAATAAAATAATTAACCAACTAACCAAAATCTAGATAGATAGACAGTCAGATCTTTAAAAAATTTAAAGAAACAAAAATAATAAATAAACAAACTTCTCTGAGAAAAGCTCTAGGGTGTTCTTCTTTATTGTTGTCTGTTTCTGTTTGGGCCATTTTGACCAGTTGACTGGGGCTACTTGTGTTGGATTTGCTTGCATGTGTTTTGGATCATCTGCTGAAGCTCCAGGTATATAAAGGACTTAAAAAGGCAGGAAATTCTCAGCTGAATTCCAGCGCCCAGCCCCCTATGACAAACTGATCATCTCACTCTCTTACACGCAGATTCAGCAGGGAAATCTTGTGCAAAACGAGAATTATATCAAATTTTGGATGTGTGCAAGCTAGTAAGCTTCATTGACATTGATGGATTGTCAAGAACTGCTTCACCTCACAACATTTCATCACACCCTGATTAAAGATACCATCTATGCTAAGAAAAATGAGGAAAATACATGGTAATACTGTTTACAACAAGATCTGTGCAGGTTGGAAATAGGCAATGATTAAGAATTTTGACAGGATAAAAAAGAAGAAGCTGTAAATCATTCACTATTGTCACTAATTGTTTGCAACAGGCAATTTAAACCAATTATCTGCTAACAAAAGCCAAGCCCACAACAGGCAACACATCGCCCAATCTAAATGGGAAATCAAAGAGATAAAGAGAGCACTGTGGGGATTTTACAGCTGCGTGTACTCAGGGTTAAACAGAGGTATAATCTTGATAATTGTAAGGCACCTTAGCGCAGCTTCATGACAGCTATCCTCATCACAGTCCATTTTTGATAGAAATGAGTTCAGATTCACTCAAATTTACTCAAACTTTCTAATTATTTTAAGTTAGTAGAAGATTACATTTGAATTTTGTACCATTACATATTCAAGATGAGTGGTTCTCTCTTTTTTTTTTTTTTTTTTTTTTTAGCTCAGAAGCTTTTATTAGCATGAGCATGTGCAATGCCAAAGAAACTATTGGTAACACTTTATATTAAGTCGCAATTCACGGTATTAACAAACCATTAACTACTAGCTTAATAAACTACTAATTAGCAGTTTATTATACTGTAAAACGCAACAGTCAACTTTATAAAAAGAAATTAGTATAGTTAACTCAAAATTGACTGAAAGTTAATTCTACTCAATTGAAAAGAATTTTGAACTCTGTGTTGAAGGTAATGAGTTAATTAAATACCTCATTACTTCCACTTAAATGGAGTAGGTTCATAGCACTCATATAGATTAGTTTCAAATGGTTTGCAATCAACCCCGGATTAATAAAGGGACTAACCCGACAAGAAAATGAATGAAGGGTTTGTAGCAATAAGTTTCCTTAAACAGTTTGAGTTGCTTTAACTTTTTGTATTTACAGTACTCAGCTGGTTTGAGTTCTCTTCATTTATTGGGTTTTTCTTTGCTCAATTACTTCGTTTACTCAAATAGATTAAGTTCTTATTAGAATTAGTTTTTAAACTTAAATGTTTTTTTGCAATCGGTTTCCTCAAATGGTTTGTGTTACCTTAATTTGGGATTTACAGTGTAGCAGTTGGTAAAAATAAAGCTGGGTTTGGGTTTTAGGTAGGATTAGCGATTTAGAATAAGATAATACTTTATAATGAACAGTTAATATCGTAAAAATATGAGGTTAATAAGCTAGAAGTTAATATAGCAAGAATTGTGACCTGACCTAAAGCTGGAGATCATGCTGTATAGAAAGTCTTAAAGTTTTTCAGCTCATCTTCAACCAAACTTTTCACCACAGTGGTAGCTTGATCGATTTCAGCACAAAAGAAATCTCTGTAAATCAAGTATCCATGTTAATCTTGTGCAAAAACACACTTAATTTCACTTATTTTCCTTTAAGTCTAATGAAAAAGCATGCTGGGGTCTAGAAACTTGCTTTAACTTGATCGATTTAATAAAAATATCAAACAAATAAATGATTAACCCCCTAAAATCAATAACCAACTAACTAAAATAAAAAAATAATAGACAGTTAATATCGTAATAATATGACGTTATTATGCTAGTAGTTAATATAGCATGAATTGTGACCTGACCTATAGCTGAAGTGCATGCAGTATATAAAGTCTTTACATTTTTCAGCTCATCCTCAACCAAACGTTTCACCACAGTGGGAAATTGATCAATTTCAGCACAAAATAAATCTCTTTAAATCAAGTCTTTATGTTAATATTGTGCAAAAACACACTTAATTTTACTTATTTTCCTTTAGGTCTGTAGCAAAGCACGCTGTAATCTAGAAATCCTTGGTTAATTTAACCAAAAAGTGAGTTCCTGCAGTGACTTGTTTTTAAGGTATAATGGCCTTTTTAAATACTTGAGTGAGATTAACTTGTTTCGTTAAATTAATTCTGTTCTCTGTTTTCACAGTGAAACCATCTATAAGTGATACAGTCTAAGCAGTTTATAAAGAGTGGTACCTACATACCTACATGCCGCCATCATTCCAGAGAGCATGTGAATGGAGGGATGTGCACAGAGCTTCTGCCAGGTATTCTGTTTGTGCTGGGTTTAATTTTAGGGATGCAATCACGTCAAGCTCCCCTTTGCTTTTGTGAGAGGCTTCTGGGGCCTCCTGTCAGCTGTTGCGGTTGTTGGCTCCCATACAAACCTTCAGCTTCCAGTAAACAGCATGACAAACTGAAAAAAAGAAAAAGTGCAATCAAGAGGCAGATTGTCAGTGCCTGTCTGACAAATGGACAGATATAAACAGTTGGTGGAGTTGCGGTGCAACATTTGAGATTGGGAAAATGTCTGTTTCTTGGACAACTTGCAAAACAGTTGATGACCAAGTTGCATAACATTATTATTCATAGTTCTTAGTTAAATGTGATTTTTTTAAAAAGTGTATACCTATGACAATAAGCAATGCATTGAAAAAGAGGTTTAATTGTTTAAAAGACGGATCCAACAGATTTCGTACTCTCCAACAGATAAAACATTCCCATATTAATCTGCGACAATTTTATTTGAAATATAAAAATGAACTCAAAACTGTGAAAGAAATTAATGTTAAGTACAAAGAGTGCTGTTGTTCAATTGTACATATGAATTTATTGTGGCAATCATTCAAACATTTTAACTTAAACATAACCATTTGGTAAATAATTCAGTATGGCATGAAACAAAATATTAATACATGAATTCCACCAATAAGTATTACACTTTATTCATTACACTAATTGTTTGATATTTCATTTATTTATTTATTTTAATACATATAGAATAGGTGTGCATGCTGGAACTAAAATTACACTGCAAAACCCAAAAAGTTAAGGTATATTTGGTCCATTTGAGTAAATTAAGCAACTTGAGCACAGAAAAACTCAATAAATTAAGAGAACTCAAACCAACTGAGTACTGTAAAACCCAATAAGTTAAGGCAACTCAAACCATTTGAGGAAACCGATTGCTACAAACCATCTGAGTAAAAAAAATCTATATGAGTACTGCAAACTTACACCATTAAGGGTGAAGTAATGAAGTATTTAATTAACTCGTTACTTTCAAGACTGAGTTTAAAACTCTTTTCAAATTAGTAGAATTAACTTTCAGTATTTTTATTTAGCTCATTACATTTGATAAAGTTGACTGTTGGGTTTAAAAGTGTAGTAATTAAAAACAATAATAATTCGAATTTTTCCATTCATTTCACGTCTATATAAAATATTTTAGATACTGTAAATCAATAATATTTTACATATGCAGTGCGTAATAGCACATCTCCTAGGTCATGACCCTAAACGTGATTCTTTTTACATATAACAATACTGTTACAGCTCCACTCATTCTTCAAGGAAACGCTTGTTTTGGCCTCATGGTAATTGCTGACACCAAATGAAGAGGAATCAGCTGTTGAACCAAATGTTGAACGTGAGAACTGGTGCTCAGTTTTTTTGTGCATATTGACGTAGTGCAGCCTGCATTACCTTGCGCAGGTACCCGCGTCTGCTGCACGCTTGATGGACGTTCCCACCGCAAACATTTATCTTCACATCGCAGTCGCTCCTCCCCGTAGAAGCGGCGAATCAAAACGCGCTCAGGACTTGGAGTCCTTTCCAACGTGGGCTGTGGAGTTAAACTTGTGGTAGAACGGGGGACGCCAGATCTTATCCACTCCACGCAGCGGCCAGATACCTGATCGTGCTTGGATGGAGGGGCGAAACCCGATCGCCTGATGTGCTGCCTGAAACCCAGAGGAGTGACTTATCAGGACGCGTTCAAAATGTCTTCTTCCTCAAGCGAGGTCATTAGTGCCGATGAGATCAAGAGGGAGAGTCGTGGGAGTGTCAAGCTGTCAGTGCTGGACCCCGCGGAGTTGCCGATGGAGAATGCCGAACTTTTGGACTGCTCGCCGGCCTCCCTGGCCTTTTCCCCCGAGCAGGTCGCGTGCGTCTGCGAGGCGCTGATGCAGGGTGGGAACGTGGACCGCCTGGCCAGGTTCCTGTGGTCACTACCGCAGAGTGACCTCCTGCGGGGGAACGAGAGCATCCTGAAGGCGCAAGCGATAGTCGCCTTCCACCATGCCCGCTACCAAGAGCTCTACTGCATCTTGGAGAACCACTCTTTCAGCCCGTCGAACCACTCGTCTCTGCAGGATATGTGGTACAAGGCGCGCTACACCGAGGCGGAGAAGGCGCGAGGCAGACCGCTGGGTGCCGTGGACAAGTATCGCTTACGCAGGAAATATCCGCTGCCTCGGACTATCTGGGACGGAGAAGAGACCGTGTATTGTTTCAAAGAGAGGTCTCGGAACGCGCTGAAGGATATGTACAAGCGGAACCGGTACCCATCTCCAGCCGAGAAGCGAAATCTGGCAAAAATGACAGGACTTTCCTTGACGCAGGTCAGCAACTGGTTCAAAAACAGGAGGCAGAGAGACAGAAATCCATCAGAAGCGCAATCGAAGAGGTAGGACGCTGCCGTAGTTATATTTATATCGTTAACTGAGAATGGAAAGCGTATGAAGGAATGCGCGAGACCGAATGGAGGACACGTTTCAGCAATGTTTTGAAATACGAAGCTTTGAGCGCTTCAATGAGGTGTACTTTTGAAGAACGTGGAGCCGGTGACGCGTTCACTCTTAAAAATAAAGGTTACTCCGTGGGTCTTTTCAGTTATTAAACTTGATCAATGAATCATTTTCGTATCCAAAGACAATTTGAAGGTTTCTTGAGCTGCCTGTATATCCATATAATTAAATGTTATCGATGTTACGTTATATCTATGGCTACTTCACTCGTTAGCTTTTCATAAATTGGAAAATTTAATTAAAATGTTTGCGTTAATTTGATAAGCAAAACAAATACCTGTCAAATATATAGCTGCTTTCAAATACAACCAAAACAGCTCATCTGTTTATTTTAGATATGATCAGCCATTAAATTAGCATAGGCATTGTCTATGTTTGTTTCTGGATTTTAAGGCCATTGTCCCACCCAGATAATCAGTCAGGGAGATCTGCACTCAATCTCCTGACGTGGCCAAAATCCTCTTCACAGCTTGAGGCATCTGAGACAGATAAGCGATTCGGCTATGTAAACTTTAGCTCGCACCTTTATGACATCGCGTTTCCAGCTGCGGTCGACATAACTCATAAGAAAGAAATAATGCACATTGAAGCTCGTAAATACGGAAAAGTCAGGTTTTGGACTGGAGTGGGTCTGTTTTTGATGTTACACTATCACCCTGACATTGATAATTACTCATTGTTTGAACGAGGATGTTAATGAACTCCTTATTCGAGTTTGTTGGATAGGAAAAGACCAACGGCGTGTGGTGTCAATAGATCTTTGTATAGATGCGGCTTGGCTGCTCGAGGGACTGAACGATGCACCCGCAGCTGTCATAGTCTGTAAAGAGACCCACCAAATGCCTTCAAGAGCTCAGATCCTTTTATCTGATTTTTGACCCCCGGGGCCAAGAGGTCCACTTTTGAAATGATGACTGAGATATTTGCAGAAAATGACTTTTAGTAAAGCAGTCTGTTTAGTAGAAGAGCAAGGGTTTACTTTAAAAGCATTACCTAACGGTATTGAAAGAGTTAAGTGCATACTGGTGATAAAGCAGTAGAGTACGCACTTAATACACACCCTTTTGATTTAGACACTTCACTGTATTTTTAATTTGGCGATTAAAAGTGAGAATTAAAAATAAAACTTTTTTGACAATTATAAATAGACATATTTATCAGATAATTATACTACTCGTCTGTTTTTAAAGGGATCATTCGGCAAAAATGAAAATTCTGTCATTGTTCAAAACATGTTTTGAGATTCTTCTTTCTGTTGAACACAAAATAAGATATTTTGAAGAAAGCTGGAAACATCCAGTGTTTATTTATTTATTTATTTTTACTATGGAAGGTTTTTTTTACAACAGGCTTTTAGCTTTCCTCAAAATATCTTCTTTTGTCTTCAACAATATAATGAAACTCATAATGGTTTATAATCACTTGAGAGTAAATAATGAGTATTTTTTTGGGTGAACTTTCCCTATTAAATCAATAAATATAATTAAAAAAATAAACAGACCAAACTAAAAGTACTACTGGTAAAGGTATTTTTGAAACAAATGAAAAAAAGAAATAAATAAAAATAAATACATAAATAAAATTCAAACCAAGCCAAAAAATAATAAATGGTCTGTTTTAAACATTTCTTTTTTTATTTTTCAGTGAGTCGGATGGCAATCACAGTACAGAAGATGAGTCCAGTAAAGGCCAAGAGGACTTGTCACCACGTCCCCTCTCAAGCGGCTCTTCCAGCTCAGTCCCACACGGAACAGCCCCCCCTACAGTTTACTCAGACGGAGGAACAACAGTCATCCAACAAATAGGAGATGTCAAAATGCCCTCACACTCAGGTGGAGGAATGAGTTATAATGGTGACCTTGCGAGCGTCAATGCTCACTACATCAACAGTGGAGCTTATGGTCACTCACACAGCAGCAATGCTCTCCTGAACGGACTTGGCGCCACAGGTGGCCATTTCTTGACCTTTGATCCTCAGAGGGTCTCCCATCACAGTCAGGAAAGGCTGTTAGGTGGGTCTTCCGTGTCTTATGCTCCATTCTCAATGGGAGTTTCTGAAACAGCCTCTGGAAAGATAGATACCATGCAGACTTTAGTTTCCAATGGTGAGGATGGAGTCATTTCTTCAGTGGTGTCCTTTGCTTCGGCCCCCTCCACACCATCCACTACCTCAGGGGGCCTTCATCTCAGCAGTTACAGCGTGGTCAATCTCCCTGGAAATGAATCTACAATGGGTCTTCCTCCTCTAATGCTGCCTCCATCATCAACATCATCCACTCACGGTAGGAAGACCTCATTTACTTAACTTCTTGCTTAAAGAAACAGTCCTCCCAAAATTTGAATGTCATATTGCTCCAAAACCAAAAAATTCCATAAATTTAGTGCATTTTAAAAACTAAGGGGTTCAGTGTTGGTTTGAATGGAATTAACTTTTATTTTATGCATAAAAACAACCTTATTTTTATTCCACAGACTAATAAATGTCAAACTGGTTTTGGAACATGAGTAAATCATGAGTGAATTTTCATTTTTGAGTTGTTTTTAAATGTTTTCCTGCCGCTTTCAGTTCAAAATGTCTGATTTTTACGCCTCTGTGTCTCATGCATGTGTCTTTGAAAATACAATAACAACAGTATCTAAAGTAGTCCGTGCACTTCTAGTGAGCTCATAAGAGCCAGAGTAATTACATCATCACTTTGGAGAATACTATGACTGAACATTTACGAGGTTAGGCTTGCCAAAAGTGACCGCAAAGATTGATGCAAAAGAGCAGAGGTTTTGCAAGAGAGCCTTGTGGGTCACGGGCAGTTGGAGTGTATTGTGGGTGAAATTGTGAGAGGCATGTGGGGGTCCAGGTCAACTGGCTTGAGGATCATACCAAATGCAGGCTCTCAACACGGTCCCCACCTCCCCTCCATGGCCCTAACCACTCACTAATGGTTCTTTCCATGAATATTTTATGGCCACATCAATAACAGCAAGGCTAGCTGTGTTCTGCTCCTCTCTCGCTCGTCTGTTTTATCCTTTAATATGCAGTTTACGAGGCACATAAAAACAAACCCACCCCTGGCTGAACTTTTGATTTAGAAGGAAAACAGTTGAGCCCAAACGGTCCAGCGAGAAAAAAGACGATATTAAAATTGTTTAGCCAAAACCCTGTTTCCTTGTGCCCATATTTTTCAAGTCGATTCAATAAAATATGTCTTCATAAAAACACAAAGTTTGATCTCCAGTGCCTCACAAATACAAAGAAACAACAATAGCAATTTCTTTGCTGCATATGAAATCCAAAATAGTGCAATACAATTTTAGATTTTTATGTTGCCTATAGTGGTCCAGATGACAAAAGAGGATTGAGTTAAATGTCCAAATGAGATGGAAGGAAAATGTGTTTCTGACCCCCTTCACACAACAGCCCTCCACCACAAACAATGTCTGCGGGAAGCTAAAGGAAACTTGTAGAAAACTTTGGTTCTCGTTTCAGAGAGTGAGCGAGTATGAAGCGGGGAAGGAGGGGTTTGGACTCCATGATTATTTATCAGACATTTGTGCAAGCCTAATGGAAGAAAAGTGTCTGGCCAAAAGCCAGAGGCTGTCACTGCAAGAGACATGTGCCAAGAACCACATTCTAGAGTTACAAGGAAATCATAGCGAGTCTAACCGCAAACAGAAAATGAAAAAGGTGTTTCATTTTACAGTTCACTAGAAAAGTTCTGAAGAAAAGAAGAAAGAGAGTACAAAGAGATACTGACTGAAAGAATGGCGGAGCAAGAAAGTAAGAAAGAGAAACAGAAGCAAACCTCCTGAGATGGAGCGACGAAGGAGTGCCATCTGGATAAACAGATCACACGTTCACGCTCTGTCCTTTCTATCTCATCTATTCTCCATTTAATTGTTATAAGCTGTAAGAGCAGCCATTGCAAACTAGAAGAAAAGAACATTGTATTAAATTGGGAACGGTTGACGTCCGGCCAAAATGTTTGGGGTTACCTTGGAGTCACAGCACAAAATGTGAACTGCTCCATCATTAAGAGATCATGTACATTAAATTCATAATTCGCTGCATATAATTATCAACATATTTTTAATTTTACAAGACAAGCTCTTCTCTAAAATTATTATTTCTTGATGAATAACAAGCTGAGCACATTAACTGAGGTAAATGTTATATTAAGTGAAATGTTTATGTTAATATATATCTGTTTTCAGTAGATTATATATTTCAAGTTCAGTATCGTATCTTTCACCATACCTTCTGACATTATTTTAGTTTGCAAACAAATAATGTATCTAAAGCACTCAAAAAGCATTGAAGTATGTGTTTTTTCACTACTTTTTCGAGTGCATTAGACTGATGATTTATTTGCAAACCTTAACAAACCCTATATGCAAAGAGCTTCTCAGGGATGGGTTGCGGCTGGAAGGGCATCCGCTGCGTAAAAACTTGCTGGATAAGTTGGCAGTTCATTCCGCTGTGGCGATCCCAGATAAATAAAGTTACTAAGCCGACAAGAAAATGAATGAATAAATTTGCAAAGAGCACCGATACATTATATACCGCTGAAGCTCCTTTTCTTTGTTTTGAATGTGTTTTTTTTTTTTTTTGCTATAACTTTAAAAAATGTCAGGTTTACATGTAGGGCAGATCGATTAATTTAAAAAGTAAATGTAATCGACATTCAGAATCTATATTCAATCTAATTTTTCCAGGTCAATTTATTCAATTTCTATCCCTACCATGTGTGGAGTCACATGACCCCACTCTGTTATGGTTAATTTATACTCATTATATTATGATTTATACTTATAATATTATTCAGCTATTATATTTCCGTCAAGTGTACACATATGGGCAGCCTTTGCATACCTGTGCACCTCTCAAAAATACTTAACGCAAGAATTGTGATTGGTCTGTTTGGTAGCGCTGACAAGAGTGGGCAGTGTGGAGAGCCTTGTTTGAGGCAATGTGTGTTCTAACTCCAGTTGTTCAGCGTTAATGTTCAACAAAGAATCATTGATAATCGATAGTGTGTTTATTTCAATTGTTTTAAAATCAAGTAATGCACCCTTCATTCAAAAATCTCTCACTTGTAATATGTAAGCATTTTTACTGTACAAAACCTGTCAGTGAACGATTAGGGCAAAAACATTAAATAAATAAAATATTCCTTTATTAATTGTAATCGAATTAAAATGCTAATTTAATCAAAATTTTGATTTTGGCCAAATCGCCAAGCCATATTTATGTGTTCCACTCAATTACAGTAGCAAAACTAGCATTTTTAAAATGTAGAATTTTGTAATTCCTTTGACAGAATCCAAAACATGCAACTTTGTTTTATCGTAACATGTGCTACTTCATGAATTCATTCATTTACTATGATTAGCAGACATAGTGAACTACATTAACTGAACTTGATTATACTTCCTCTTTTATCCCTAACAGGATGTGCTCCTTTGGGCAACGTAGTCAGTGACTCTTCCCAGCACTCAAGCCAAACTCTGCTCTACTCCCAGACTGTAAAGCAGGAGCCCCTGGATGTGCCTGGAAGCTATGCTTATCCTTCTGATATGCCCCTGGACCAAGGTAGCAACCTGGGCTATACAGCCTCCCTTTTCCTCTCGTCGTCCTCCAGTAGTGGTTCTCTTCCCTCTACCATCACAGCTACAGTCACCTCAACCCTCTCCAACTCCGATGTCCACCATGCTCTGAATCAAGCAGGACGTGGCCTCCAAGAGGATGGTGTAGCTCTGTCTTCAGACTACAGGTCTCAAGACATCCATCTGCCCAACAGCCTGCAGGTTGTTTCTAGGGAAGGAGAAGGTCCAGTCAGGGTTGTTTGTGGGGATTTGGATATGGAGGGGAAAGAGCTGGCCAAGCTGCAGACTGTACAGATGGACGATGATGGAAGCGACCTCTGATGATGTCAATAATGCATTTCACTCGTGCTGGACTGGTTTTGTCACGCCGCATTGTGCCCTTATGGACGCTTTAAGCACAAATCATTCTCATATGAACCCTAGCGATGGATGTAAAAATGCGAACAGTGCCTTCCTGTCCTGATATATCCCAACTTGCACTAAGAGGGCTGCAGAACTTACCAGGCAATGCACTGACTTTTGGAAGATTATTTAGCTGCAGTCTTTATACTGTCACCTCAAAAACAAAATACTAAATACCTGTTAAAAAGCACAACTGTGCTCTGAATCAAATAATGCAGCTTTATAGTGATTGTTTTCTTTTAACAGGATTTTATTGATGCACAGATGCATTTTTGTTGTTGTTGTTGTTGTTTATGGTCTTTTTGTATTTAATTTTTTTGTGTGTGAAGATGCAAATGTGATAAAGCTTATTTTGTTATGCTTGACTTGAGGAATTTTATGTTACAGAATTTTTTTAATTCAAACTGACAAGTCTCTTTCTACATATCCAAGCGTGGACTTGTGTGGAAGCTAGATAACAAGCCATTTATTTGAAGGAACTTATCAAGAATTCTGAAGTTTTTATTGATTTGTGTGAGTTGGATGTGTTTTGTAATTTACTGTAGCATTCATTTCTCCTGAATAGTCACATGTAGCAGTTTGGCGAATTTTCATGGGCAAAATGCATTCATTCAAATAAGAATGTGACAAAATTCCACACACATCTTTTGGATTCAAGCCGATCAAAATAATGCAGTTTTAGTTTGACTTTTGTGTGTGTGTGTGTGCGTTGTGCTACACTTTTAAAGGTAACACTTAATTTTGATGGTCTATTTGAGTATTAGTAGACTGTCTGCTTAATGTCTGTAGATACTGCTCCTTCAACAGACATTTAACCAAAGCAATCTCGCAGCAATTCGTATCTTTTTGATTTAGTGGTTAATTGAAAACAAATTTGTACGATCTCATTCGTAATTTAGTATGATTTGCTCATCACCAAGGGGTGGGGTTGGGTGACACGCCTCCTTTTTAAAATCGTACTGAACTCATACGAATTCGTACAAATTAGCCACTAAACTGACAAAACGTAAAATACTTACGTTTCCTCATGAGATCGGGCTGCATTTAACTCACTATAAGACAATTTGCAAGTACATGTCAACTTACACTAAACCTAACCCCAACCTAACAGTCTACTTTTAATCTAATGAGAATTAGTTGGCATGTAGATGATTAAATTCAACGAACGGACCATCAAAATAAAGTGTGACCTTTTTAAATTCCAATTATTACTTTATTTTTGCCATGAAATTTCACTAAGGTTATTACACCTTTCCACCAAACCTCTGTACATACTGCAAGAACCACAAGAAAACTTCAAACGTCAGTCTTGCTTGAAAGAAGCCTATTTTTCTAACCCCTTCTACCCTATTAAATATTTATATTTGTACATATATAATGAATGATCCCAGGGTTGTCTATGTCACTGACACCGGTGTTTCACAATAGAGTCCCAAGTCTGATAACTCAATAAGTAACGGGAATGACATCACTTTCAATGAATCATGGCTTATTGGAAGCACCAGGTAAGATCGGCTATATGTTTTTAACCAATGGCAGGCGTGGACATCCAAGACTCTATCTTTTTAACCAGATCAGGCTACAACTTGGACCCCCTGGATGGCTGGCGGTGATCTCAGACATTACTAATGCATGGTCGTACGCATATGCAGCACGGTGGAGATCAAGCTTGTGTTCTCACCAGAGGCGTCGTCTGTGATCTCTGGCCAAAGCCTGGCAGCTGAATAAGCCCTGCTCACTCTTAAAGTGTCATATGGTACCTGTCATGACATTACTCAAAGTAAAGGTCATCCAAAAAGTCAGAGTATATGAGGAGAAGTTACATATCCTTATTAGATTTCCTGAAACGTCCTCACATGATCTTGTAGGAATAGACTTTTGGCTCGGACTCTAGGGCAAAATGCAGACTCATCGTTTGGTAGATTATTAAAGGGCGATAAGAGATATACTATGTTCTTTGAATAATTAAAAAGGATTTCACTAGGACATTCGTGCACAACAAGATCATTCTTGAAAATAAAAGGTTTCAAAATATATTTCTTTCTACACTGTAAAACCCAACAGTCAACTTTATCAAATGGCATGAGTGTAGTTAACTCATAATTTACTGAAAGTTAATTCTACTCAATTGAAAACTCAGTGTTAGTTATTTATGAGTTAAATACCTCATTACTTTAACTTAACTGGAGCAAATACTTGGTTAGATTTTTTTTTAAACTCAAATGGTTTGTTGCAATCGGTTTCCTCAAACAGTTTGAGCTGACTTAACTTATGAAGCTTTACGGTACTCAGTTGGTTTGAGTTCTCTTCATTTATTGAGTTTTACTGTGCTGGATTAAGATCACAGTACTTATTAGGATTAGTTTTTGAACTTAAATGATTTGTTGCAACTGGTTTGCTCAATTTGTTTGAGTTACCTTAACTTATTTGGATTCACAGTGTAGTGATGCTATATAGAACAATCATATTTGGTTCCTCAGAGTCAGATAACTTTATGTGGACATTTCTTTTGTAGAACATTTTTAAATATTTCTTTACACTATAAAGTATCTTTTTTGTGTGCAATAGAAAAGTTGTTTGGGTGTACTGTAAAAGGTTCTTTGTGAAACCATCAATGCCAACAAAGAACCATTCGTTTTAATGATGTATAATGGACCACAGCAATATATATTTTGATTGACAGGGCTAATATATATGTACATTTTGATTAATTGTCCAATAAAAGATCCCAAAGGGAGTTTTGTGGTGATGTCATTAAGAACATTTTGGTTTCACAAAGAAGCTTTAAGCAGGACTTAAAAGAACCAGTATGATGAATGTTTTAAAAATCTAAAGGAGAGTTTATATATGGAAAAATGCTTTGGGTGTTCTTTCAAGACGCCATAATTCTAAAAGAAAACGTTTAATTTTTAAGACTGGAATGGTAGCATGTAACAAATTATGATCTTTTGACAAGGTCAATTTTGATCACCTAAGAAAGTGTGAAAGTAGTATCTAAAGTCTGTTTACTGCTGTGGGAACGTTTCTGTCTCTTGATGCACAGTTGTCTGCACCAGCCCGTGTGAGTCAGCGCTAATTGAATGGCGCCCAGGTAGGATTTGCTCTATTGCACAAAGGAGGAGAGAAAAAAGCACACTGGGTAAAGAATCTATTGTTACCTGCCCAAAGGTGACCCTGTCGCCTAGGGCACCAGATTAGCTGATTGCCAGGTATCAGATGGCGCCTCCTGGAATACTGTAGGGTAAGAAAGCGCTATTGTCTGGGCCTTTAAGCAAAGAACTGGTGGGCGCAAGAAAGAGGGACATGTGTGTTTCATGTCCCATTTCCCCTTGGCAGACTATATGTCACTGAGCATTTCATGGGAAGCGGTGTTATGTTGCGTTTCTGTATTATTGAAATACAAAATACGTCACTCCATCTCCTCGTAGCATGAATGGGATGGTTTATTGGGGCGACCTTAAAGCTCTTTTCATCTTTTATAACAAAAGGCACAGAAGGGAAAAACACCTTCCTTTTAATTCGCTCTCCAGTTTCACGAAAAGAATGTGCAAGTGCAAGGAACGGTCACTTAGTGTGGGTGAAGTTCACCAAATGTTAAATCTACATATACATGAAGCGACATGAACGAGTAACAATAATTTCACACTCCACAAGGCTTTTGTATGTGTTTTTAAACATGGCGAAGATGTTCATAAATCCGAAGAAAGGCAGGTCATAAAATAGGAGGAACCCTGCAGAAGTGGGCTTATTAAAGAAACTGACCCCTGACTTTTTCTGGAGGTTTCAAAGTGTGACATTTAGTGAAGCACAGCAGACTGTGAAGTACGTGTAACCGGACCCTTGTGCCCACTGCACCACAGCACTATACACTGTGCTAATGTGAGGTCAAGGGGCAACAGGGTCTGAGACCCTGCACTTCTACACCCCCTCTTAAATATAAGTCTTTGTAAATATGTTTGGTTTGGGAAAAAAACTGAGTGAGCATTTTATGTTTTGAAGAAATTATGTCCACAGACAGAAATAACATTTTAAGCACAATAATTATATAAATTGTAATTGTATTTTAATAATAGATCAAATATGAAACATATTTATAATTGCAAAAGTTAACTTTAGTTTACTTTCATTTTTCTATAATTACATTACTATCAATTCAATAATATGTGTATGTTAATTTATTTATCTTATTATTAATATTCTTTTGCAAGTTTCTAAATCTAAAAAATGTCATTTGCAAATCTCTAGACATCCAAGCCAGCAGGGGGCAGTGCTGCTAGTCTTGATTATGTACAATCCATTAAATATAAGGGATGCTGGGTTTAAATGCTTTTTGAGAGTTTTCTGACCCCAGTTTGCTGTGACTTTGCAAAAATCTAAAAATTACTGCTTATGTGGAAAACAAAACTGCTAATGGATTTAGTGGAATAGTAAATGCAAATATTTAAGTCACGCATAAAAAAGGTTAAAAAAATGGTAGAAACACATAAATGTGTTCTGTTACATGCAATGAGTTCAGGGTGTGCAGCAAATTTCTCAAATAACTGCATGGAACTGATCATTATCACTGGTGTTTTAGATTAGAATGAGGAAAAGACAAACAATGTGAGAGAAAAAAATCACATTACAAGTGTTTGATTTCCATGCTCCATTAAGATAGTAAAACACATTCTCTTGCTTTTTTTTCCACAGGGTGATATAGTAAACATAAAAGTACAATGCTAAAATAATAATGTATAAATAGAATGATTTAATGTATTCACAATCTTTGAAAGGTTTCTTTTAAAAAACAACCATAAATAACTTTTTTTTTACATTAATATCTCTTTTAGGACAACTGGTAATACAAAAAATATTGAACAGTTTCATAAAAAATATCTTATTTCATAGGAACATTTTAAAAATGCAGTAGGTAATTAATCTGTACTGTCTCCCCAGCAGATGAAAACTGAGGACCGTCCTCTACTGAGGACAAATGAACAAAAAATCAATGCCTGTCTAGTACAGTAATTCAAACTCTGCTTTCTTTAAAAGAGTAATTAAATCGAATGTAATTTTAAAGTTATAGACATCAATAATATAATATAACCCTACTGTTTTTCTGCATATAGAGGAAGCTGTCATCATGGCCCACACCTTTGGTATTTTAAAAAAATATATATAACAATTATGTATAAATATTTTATACTTTTGTCCAAATAGGATAAAATAAAATTATTTTTTGTATTAACTTTCATCAATAACCCATAAAAACTATTTAAATCATGCATTCACAATTATACTAATTAAAAACATTATAAATAATGGCTTATTAAAATAAGAGAACAGGCCCTGCGCTAACATTATCCATTGTATACTTGCCTTGAAAACTGGTTGTAATAAATTATCTTTAAAAGGCAATTTGTTTAATATTTTATCAGAACTATACTAAAATAATATTTATTTATTTAGCTAACTATCTTGCTTCATCTGATAAAA